TGTGTGTGTGTGTGTGTGTCTGTGTGTGTCAACCTGAATGCTGAGTCGGGGATCCGGGGTTCTGTCGAGTCGCGGAGGTGCGAGCGACGGATCTGTCCGATTATCGAGTGTAAGTCGCGGGGCGACGCCCTCCTGCTTTGCCTGGATCCCGAGCTGCACACCAAGGGAGAGAAAGAGGAAGGAGGTTGGCGCCAGTCCCGTGTATACACGCGGCGTTAAGAGCGAAAAAGGGATCGGGGGAAGGGAGGAGGGGCCAACACACTCATGCATCCGTGCAGACGGTCGACACCCAGCATTCCCCACCAAGTTCACCAACGCTCCTGTAAGCGCACACACACACACACACACACACACACACACACACACACACACACACACACACACACATACATATTCATCCAGCCCTTGGATCAAGGGGCATTCAACATCCATAGACTCCCGTACCACAGCAGGCATACAGCAGAATACCCATGCATCGGGACCTTGCACACATCACAATAGGACAAAGCAGCAATGGAGATAAAAGCGAGTTCCTTAGTATGCAGAATTTCTCACACAGCTGGCCGCCCTGGGCCCAGCCCCCAGTCCGTCCGAACCATCGACAACCATAGCCACAAGGCCCTGCTGCTGCCGGTGTCTGGTCTCCACCACCACTCAGTCCCTCCGACTGTCCTACCCCAAGTCTATCGCTAAGCCCGCCCCACGTCGTCGCTCCGCCCGTCACTTGGGCCCGTCGAGCCTGTTCGACGCCGCAGACCTTCCGCATTGCTCGCGCAGCATTGCAGCCTAGATCAAAGAGAGGGAGAGGAAGAGGAAGCGAGAATTTATAGCGCGGAAGGCGGCGGGGTGTCGGTGTGTGGTTCGAGTAGCGCAGGGTGTAGATGAGCAGGACAGAAGAAGGGCCAGGATTCCAGAAGGATCGAAGGGGGCGAGTTGAACGATCTGTGTGGTTGGGGTGGTTGTTCAAGTGGTTCGCGCCTTCCGCTTTTACCACATTGATCCGACTATCCCAATCACACAGCCAATCGTTTGCGATGATGGGTAAGGAGAGGATCGGACTTTGCTCAAGGGAAGACGAAGAGGCATGCAAGAAGGAGAACGTGCAGCAAGAAGGGAAGATAACATAGGGATGCAAAGCGGGGGAACGGGTTTACGCGGCCTGGAGAAATTTGAAAAACGGCCGCGCGCGCAAGAAATCAAAATTTCCATCTAACTGTTTCTTGGATTTCTTGGTGCGGTCGCTAACCGACCACGCGAAAAAATCATCAGGGGCAGTTCTGGAAAAAGAAAGATAAGTTTCAGTTTCGTCCCTCTTCTCTTTCAAGAAGGAAAAAAAAAAGAAAAAGGAAAAAGAGAAAAGAAGAAAAAAAAAAAAAAAAAAAAAAAAACGTTCTTCCCAATCACCCAGAACCCGTACTTCGAGGCTTACGTGGGATTTTCCCTTACGGGTACGGGAAGCCGTGGTGTACGGATCCTAGCTTATCACAAGCTTCCCTCGCTGGCTTTCTTCATCTTCTTGTTTTTTTTTCTCGACGTGCGCATGCCCTTCGTCCAACTAGAATTGCCCTCCACTTCATTCTCTCTCTTTCCTCCTTCCTTTTCCCCTTTCTTTATTCCCTTGCTTTGTCAGCTGGATCAGTTAAGCATGGGGGGGGGTCAGATGAAGGTGAGGGTTCGGGTTTTATGTCCCCCAAGTTGCGGTCCAATTACGCATGGTAATAGTGTGTTTCTCGCCTCTTGTTCACTGCCCTTCCTTTATCCTGCATGCTTGCGCCTCCTCATTCCACGCACCTACAACACGTGCAAACACTGCCCTCCGCCGCTCTCTCCATCATCAATCCAGGTGACGCCTGATTACTAGACCGGTGTGATGGGCAGGGGGGTTCGACTTCATGCAATCTCCTTAATATTGCATGTCATGTGTACTGCGCCATAACTTTGTAAGTCTTCCCCACCCGCTTCAGGGAGTGATAACTGTCTTCAACCAGTTCCTCCTTTTTCAGCATCTGCTGTATCCGCTGATCGGTAAATCGTTTTCCATTCTTCTGACAATGCTGCAACAACTTATCATTTACAACTTCGGATATAGTGAGGAGATGGCCAACAGGAACAGGGGACTCGGATATCTAATCTCTTGAGAACTTGTAGGACGTCTATCTCCGTAGGTCTTGAGAAATTGTAGGACGTCTATGGCTCCCCGAAGCGCCAATGGAGTGATAACTGTCTTCAAGCTTTGTTTGCGACGATCGGAGCGACCACTTCATCTTTAGCTGGCCCCAATTCGCTTTATTCGGGCAATTTACACTCCTGCATCTGAACACGTTAAACGTTTCTAATCACTCATCTGGGAAGCAATTGGACGGCCAATGCCAGCCACCTCATCTTCAGCTGCCTCAAGTTTGCATTGCTGTCTTTTTATTGCCTCCATTATATTCTTTTATTTTTCTCTTTTTTCCTTTTTTTCCCTTTTTTTTATGTCATACATCATGTCCCATTTCATCTCAGGCAGCTTCATCTTCAGCTGACCATGATATGGATCTGGGAATCTTATAGTACAACACATCTTTCGCGCCAGTTTTTTTGAGACACAGAGCAATTGCCTAGTTGTGAGATGTGCAGTTCACTCCCGCACCTGTTTTGACATCCTTGTCTCCCCTCCACCTTTTCCCTAAATCTTGTTTGATATTCTTCCTTCCCACATTCGGTCTGAGTTGTTGGGGCGCCAACATGGCATTATAAATCAGATCTCGATTTCGAGAGTAGCCACATCCCCCACAGCACGGTTTGTTCCTCTGCTCCCCTCTCTTCCCTCTTTTCTCCTCCCGTAGCCTTTTTTTTTCCCATTTAAGAAAGGAAATGCTCCTATCTATTTGTGGGCAGCACCGTGTGTTCCTATCTATTTGTGTCTGCAATAGTTGGCAGCACCATGTGTCTTTCCGCCACAATGGGTTTCTGGCAGATGTGCCCCTTAGCTTTTTCTTTCTTTTTAAGAAAGGAAATGTTCCTATCTATTTGTGTCTGCGACAGTTGGCGAGAACCATTTTCTGTAACCATAACGAGCTCAGCCCCAGAACCGCCATTACAAAGGTTCCAATTCTGACATGATACTCCAACCCCCTTTTTTGCACTTTCCTGGGGCCTCATCTACACTCCATAAGGAAAACTGCACGGGGCAAGAGGATGCTCATCACATAGTGACTTTTGATCAGACAGCGTTTGCAAGGCACCAGGGCTGAGCAGGAACCCCACTCACCCCTTGTTGAAGCATGGTTGAACGAGCTCTATCGTAAGGATACCTTGGGCGGTAGCGTAAGTGTTCCATGGGTGGACCCTCTATGCCCCCCAAACTTACCCTCTGGCAGGCTCCTCAGTGTACGGAATCCGATCTATTCGTGTACATCCTATATATCACAGACACACCTTTCCATGGCACAGCGCCTTTTGCTCTCGACCTACGGCCCCGGGCCACCCGATCAATCACCAACACACCTTTCCTGGCTCGAAAACTGTCGGTCCCAACCCGCACATACCCAGCACTAAGACCCAACGAACGCCACCCCATT